TCAAGTGATAGCGATTGCTGTATGAGTCGTAGGATTTTTTAATCAAGCACGGGCAACGCCGGGCTATGCTGCTAGTTGGTTATATATGCTTGAATAGAGATGACTGCTTTTTAAAACCGTGAAATTAATATCTACCGACTTAGTGTTTAAGTAGACATTCCCTATTTTTCCAACAAGGGTGTCTACTTAAAGACCTGTACCCATTTTTTCATGAATAGACAGACAGACAGACACACAAGTATTGTTGAATGTGACAATGACAGACGGTTGAAGATTTTAGATTATTCGGCGACTTTCGATTTAAAATCTTCCCTGTATAATGTTCGGTCTGTGTAATTGTAACACTTCTAGATATAAATTCAAGTTATTATTTAAAGAAGTAAAAAGGTGCAAATAAAAAGCAACCAGGTTTCTATTTCATTGAAACAGGCGTTAAACACATAAATATTATCTCCTCTGTTTTTTCTTTCTTTTCCTAAAACAAAACAGTGCTTTTGATATATTTTTTGTTTCGTCTATTCTCGCGACCACACAGGAATGGTCCATTGTTTAACTGAGGTAATGGCAGGTTGTAACATACCTACGTGCTAGCTAGCAAACTAACTAAGGAATAGGTATAATTGCAATATCATTATTATTTATCCAAGTACACAACGTAAATGCAATGTGAGTGACTTTTGAAAACTTTAGTTCGTCAATTAACGTACTAGTGTATTTAATTTTCTTTTACTTTTTCACCGCTTATGCCCATCATCATGAAAAATATTTATGAAACTTTTGTTTTCTTAAATAATCAAATACTAATTACCAAGTGTGTTTTCGAAAATTATTTTCCTCTTATTTACAAGGGTCGCCCCGAACGTAATCTCTCTTATTTTATTACGCTGTCAAACATCAGAGGGGAACGTTGGTGGTATGGCAGTGGAGTTTGAATCTACCCACTAATAACTCATTTTTTTCCTTAATAGCAGCTCAGCGGCGGTTTGGAAAAATGGCATCTGACATGACTCCCTTTTATTAAAGTTACATCAGAAAATGACATATGGTGAAAAAAAAGAGAAAGGAATTCTGGTATTTTTATTTTTTGTGTTCGATTTTCATTGGTTAATCAGGTTTCAATTTGTTAAAGAACGTTACTATAATTTATGGCGTTCCGAATTCAAGGAGAGACGACGAATTATTTCGAAGCTCCAAGAAATTATCAATTCTCAAGGACAAAGAAAATGTATCAATCTAGTTTTATATGATCGGATTTTATTAAAATTCTAATGATCGTTTTTTAAAATAAACATTGCCGAGTGAGTCAAATGTGTATACAGTAATAGCGGTGTCAAGTGAATAACATTTTTTGACACACTTTTTCCGAACACGAAGGTTAAACAGTTCCAAATAGTTTTTTTTTGTAGTGGAAAACCGGCCCTATCCAACGTTATTGTCCCCCTTGTATCTATTGTAGTTCCTATGGAATTAAATTAAACTTAGACTCTACCTTCTGTTCGAATTTTTTGTGAAGGACGCAGACAAGTATATATGTATTTGTTAACATAAAAAAACTGCTCGAGAGATAAAATAAAACATATATTTTCGTCCACTGTTTGTAATGATGTTTTTCGATATCAAGAACAAATCGATTAGAATATCATTAAGTTACACTTGCGTGTCTTTTTATAGGTGAAGTATTTTCATTTGCCTTCTTTATCAATTGTAAAAAGACAGAAACTATGGTCATCAGCAAAAGAAAAAGCCCAAGTTGTAAGTTACGAATCAGAGATATAAACATCAAGCAGCTGCAGAAGTTGAAATATCTGGAAAACGTTTTAACAAAGAATGGAGGATGTGACACGGAGATCCGAACACGTATTAAGGCAAGAAGCCTTCCTAAAAGCTAAGCAAGGTGCTGAGAAACGGGTAGATCTCGTTAGAAACAAAAAAAAGGATTGCTATGTGATATCCATTCTCTTATATGAGAGTGAATCTTGAAAAATTTCCCTAAGAATGAGGGAAAAAAAATGGAGGCAGCAGAAATGTGGTTCTACAGAAGGATACTGAAAATTACTTGGGCGTGGCGAGTAAACAAGTAAGTCTTAAAGAAAATGGCGACAGAAAGAATACATACTCAGAATGAGTAAAAATAGAAGAGATTTCTTGGACAAATAATGAGGATAAGCTGGAAAATCTTAATTCTAATGGGACAAGAAAGATAGGGGAAGGCAGCGATCCACTTACCTGACGAGTTTGTGTGAATGGATGGTGGGGACGAAAGGCGGGAACCTTAGTAAAAGGAGACAAACTGGTAAGAGTCATAAGAGATTGGCGATCACGGCGCTGCACAGCTTCTATATCATGAAGGGGTGCAATAAATAGAAGAAGAAGAATCAATAGAAAGAAAGACAGTATAAAGTTTAGAAGTAGTTTGTTTTCTTGTGACAAGGCAAATCCAAAAACGCCCAAATAGAAATTAATTGAAGTGCCGATCAGTTCCAAGTAAAAGAAAGATACTTCAAGCTTATAAATTAATTAAAATGACAATAGACTAGAGCCTTATTGAAGAGTAAAACAAATTCGAAGAAAACTCACCTAAAAAGAGCAGTAACTCTCCCTTTCTCTTGAACATTTCCCATTTAGAAATAGGCTATCTAGCAGACAGCAGCTTAAGCGAAAAGAATATTTTCTACCTAATAAGCCGTTGGTAGTTGAATCTAATTACATAAAACAATCTTTTATTTTCTTGCTTACTAAATCAATCAAACTTAAAATAGCCGTTCTGTGTTGTGGAGGCATTTTCTATATTTTGTAGTATTCAATCACAAAATTAACAAGGCCAAAACAAGGATGAATCTTTCTCGAGAGATAAAGTATTCAAATCTTTATATATTACTCGGATACGATCGTTGTGTACACCAAACAGTTACACGTCAAAAGAGATTACATCGGAGATTGGTTTTATTTTATTTGAAACATATTACTACGGCAATAAGCGTAGTAGTTAAATATTTATTATATCTTTTCTGTTACGATTAACTACGTATATGTAAAGTGTATAGCCTTTCACAAGCAAGTCCAGCTGCTTCGGGTAGACGGATCTTGACAACATAGCAAGACCGTCCATCAAGGGAAAGGAAAACACTAATTTTAAATTTCCACCGCCATGTTCAAACATGGAAAAAGTTATGGAAGTAAATTCATACAGAAAAACCGGAGTGGAGCCTCGAACGCTAACAACTTTCTAGCATCTCCTGAAGCCAAGCCGGTTCCAAATGTAATTCCCTGTATTCCTTTGAATCTTGTTGGCACGACCGGGACGAGGACAGCGTACGAACTCCTTATAGCATCGCCCAGGCTTGCGTTGTGGAGAGTTCACTCAGGTCTCATCATGAAAGGACTGCATTTTGACCAAACAGGGTGTTATCTTTATCTCGCGAGATAAACAGGATGCCTACTACATACGAAGTAGTTGGTTCTAAACTTTGCACATTTTTGACATCTTTATCGAAATTACAACATAACGATGCCCTCAATTTCAGCATTTGTGATTTTAATCTTTTCACGTTATTTCCATCGCACATCACATGAAGAAGTCAAATTGATCATAGATCATTTTTATAAAAAAATAATTTAATAATTTAACGTATAATGTGATTAGCAACGTTTCCTCTGTTATTTAGGGTTTACGGTTAGTTAACGTTGAAAACTGTTTCCCGTACGATCATTGAAGTTAAGCAACGTCGAAACTGGTCAGTATCTAGATGGGTGACTGGTTAGGAATACCGAGTGTTCTAAATTCGGATGCGCGGCTGGTATAATGGCTCGGAATTATTAATTCCGAGTTTCAGTTCTTGTTGGGTTCATTATATTCCCTTACGCTCAAAAAACGTATGAATCCACCACTTCTCCCCAGATATGGATTAATTAGCAAGACTTTTATCACTAAACCATTATATTTTTAAAACTAAACACAAAAAACAAATTTTTACAATCTAAAAATATTCCACGGCTTTAAATAAACGAATCAATCAATCTATTTTTCAAATTACTGATCTCTAAGGAAAAATAAATCTCTAAGGATCTCTAAGGAAAAATAAATATTTATATGCTTGGTCTTTATTGGTCATCTTGAATGTTATGATGACAATGTTTTAGGCCGTTATACTATTTGGCTGTCTCCAGGCGTCTGTCCTAGTCAGTAAACATGGAATTTTGAACCAAAGCCCTTTATTCAATCTGTAGAGATAGATTGTTCGCATTCTTACTTCTATGCTTAGGGAAGATCCTGTATTAGTTAATCCCATCAAGTTTATTTGTTGTTTTTTTTTTCACTTGTCCATTTTTTCTGAGCCAGAATATATAGTTCTTATACTACCCGACCCAGGAATTGAACACACAACAGCCAGTTAACCAAAGGGTTACTGAGAGACATTTAACGAAGACCGGAGTGTGTGCCGGTCTATAAGTTGTGTGTATAACACTCAAGTTGAGCATGTTGGTCTGAAGTGAAAGGCATATAACAATGATATTTCCTCTTCTAAAAGAACTCCGCAAAATTACTTGATCTAGTGCAATCTGATTTTGTAATCTCTACATACACTGTTTGGAACCGTAAATTTGTAGATACAATAAAAAAGAGTTTCTGCAAATTACACAAACCCCACTGATAGTGGTCACATAACCATCCGCAATCCCATTAATGATACTTATTAGGACGGAAAATATCTATCGATGCCATTTTGGTAGCAATAAATAGAAAACTAATATTGACATAGTCAGTTGGTAACTGTTAGTATTTAACAATACATAACTTAGTTGCTTTTCCAAACAAACGCGCCTTTTCGTTCGTTTAGTCGCCAGTACTTATCGATGTAGAGAAGCTTGTAATGAATCGTACCCAGAGTTTTTAAGTAAATATTCACCAAATACAAGGGTCAACATCTACTCAAAGTAGAGGATTACTGAATTAAGTTGTATGTTATAGCAAAAAAGCTTTAACATTTTCTCGCAAACCAATGTCTGCTATCAGTTTCTTCTCTCTCGTTCGCGACACATGTAGCCAGTTCAACACAGCAGTCAACCGTCCCTTTTCTCTTCTTTCTTCCTTTCCTTCTTTCTCTTTCTTCTTCCTGTCGCCTCGTTCTTCCCGCTTTTATGAATCATTGACAGCCAAGATTTGTATATGCGCAATTATAATCGTAAATATAATAGTTAGATCCTGGAGTAAGATACTCTCTCGCGGGTATCTTACTCCGGGATCTGGCTATTTTTAATGTGTAACCCGCGAAACCATTTCTTTCTCCTTTCGACAGTTTACACGCGTGGCACATTCGAATCTTTGCTCGCGTTGGAGGCTAAGTTATTTTATTCTTGGTTTTATTCTAGCATTGCCCATACAACCCTGCTCTCTGCGGTAGTTAACTACCCCCCCCCGATCTCATGATCATAGCAACTGTGTGAGGTCTCTTCTGCCGGGTACTCCGAGTTGGAACATGAGTTTCGTCTTCTAATGAATCTCCACTGGTCGAGTCATTGAGTTAAATTGCGCCAGACTCCACGCTGCAGGTATCAGGAGAATCGTCTGGCGAAGTTGATCTTAAGTCGACTAACAATTCACTTTCTGTTGAATCACCTCCATGCTCAGATAGAGAATACGACCTCCGAAATGGAAGTCTGTTACATGTCGGGGAATTTTGTTAACCTGTACTGACTGAACTTTTAACTTTTGGTTATGCGTCTCGTCTTAAAACTCGGTCGTACACCTCCCTTGCGGAATCTTAACCCAGACAATGTCCCTCATCTCGTATGCTACTCGTGTATTTCATGGTTCAGGCGGAGGCGTCGCATCGATGCCCCATACGCGAACGTGATACTTATGTAGAGCGTCTGCCAGCGCTGTAGATGGTGGGAAGCTGTTCTTAGGTGTGACGTTATGCCAGTAGACTGCCTCTGGTATAGAGCACGGCTTTCTAGCGGCAATGGTTTTCATGTTTCTGTGACTCCTTTCGACTCTCCTATTCCCGGTAGGTGTATCAGCACATCGGAATCGAAGCTGCCCGCCCCAGTCACTGAGAAATTATCTGATGTGCCCACATGTGAAAGCCATGTCATTGTCAGCTATGATTTCGGCCGGTGGACCCCGCTCGAAAAAAAATGATGTTAATCGGTTAATGACACTGGTGGAGTCTTGTCGACGAAACGGTCACCATATTGCAAATCGAGAAGGGCCACAACCAATGAGGGTTATGAAGTGTCCATTGTCGTAGTGTGTGGTATCTATCGCTAACCTGCTCCAGTTGTTTTTCATTCCCAGTGTTCCTTTCTGCTAGTGTGCTAGCGCCGGATCAATAGATTGGCAAGCTTCATAATTCTTGACGACTGACTTTGCGACTGTTGTTGATACTGAAGGATCGGCAAACCTGGGAAAATACAGTGTCCTCTTCATACCTGGGTGTCCACTCTTTTGGTGGATTCTAACTACTTGAATCACACTCGACTTTCTTATAGTAGCGCACCCAAGTTGTACAGGTTCGGCTTCTTCCTTGTGCAGCTCCAACCACCTCTGGAGCACTCTGGTGTCGTGGTCTGCTCAATTTAGCGCTGATTTGATCAGCTTCACATCCATTGTCAATGCATACTCGTCAACAAGTGAGTGAAATCTTTCCAGCCACCGTCTTAACATCTTACTAGCTACCCTCGTTTTTACACGTGCCTTCCGAGTCAAGGAGTCTGATATTCAGCAACGAATGCAATGGCGGCACACTGGGGTATATCTTCCTCGGGGAAGCGGATTTCTCCCGATTTAGTGATGCACATTTCCACAAGTTCCCCGGATCGTATCGATCCCCAAAAGCAGATCAAAGCATAGCAATGTTCAATTCACAACTAGGACTTCAATGTTCACGGTTCGAGCACAACCAACATCCAATTTGACTGTGCTGTACACATGGCAATCTAGCGATTTCTCATCGGCTGTCAGCTCCTTCACCTCCCGGCGTCGCCAAAGTCGACATACGTAACTGTTTACTAGTGTCTGTGAGCAACCAGAATCTACAAGGGCTATGCACTTCTGTTCATCTACGAGCACTTCGATGACTGGTAGTGTATCGTTTATTACTTTTTTGGGGAGTAGTCTGGCTTTGACATCTCCTCCCCTGAACCATTTTCCTGGCACTCAGACGTGACGTATCCAACCTTGTTGCAACGAAAGCAACGCAGTTCACTGCGCGATGGGCTCAGCCGGTTATCTGTTATCTCCAGGCGTCTTTGTTAACAGTCTTTAGCAAAGTATTTTGGACCAGTCCACTTGAAACAAATTATGCCATCCTTGCGCATGTAAGAAGGAGACGCCTCAGCGCGTGTTCGTTGAATGGATGTGGCGACTCACTCTTCAGGTTTTTGGTTATCAGTCATAATAGCCCTTGCCCTGGAAAAAGGTTCCTGCAAGGTTATATTCTCTATTCTAGACGATACTCTAAGAAGCCGTCTAACGTCCCCTGGGGGCCCAGACATGAATGCGCATACCATGCATTGTTCAGGCAACTATCCGTCAACCAGCTGAGTAAAGAGCTGAAGCTCTGCCAAAAAATTATCGACAGTTTCCTAGTACGAAGTCGCCTCGTTATAAATTGGTCAAAAGCATTGAAGGAGACCGTTGCGTACGCGGTCATGAGGGCTTGCTTTATCTGTTCGGCGTCTGACCTCTACTCCTTACTTAGTTGCTGGTATACAACGAGAGTTCCACCTCTCAATCGTAATCCACAAGGGATAGGGGAAGTTGAGAGCCATGATCGCCTACGCCCTGAAAGGACACGGCACATAAAAAGAAAAAAAAAAGAACTGCTTTTATAGCTCTGCTTTTAATATTAATCAACACGAGCGGAATTCTGTGTCAGTTTTCTCCGACGGTTTGAATCACCCATTATTGCACAATGAACACAGATATCAGTTCTACAAATATTCAATATATTTTGAAACCTCCAATAAGTCGAATGTCATGAAACATTCATAGAAACAAAAGAAATGGCTAACTGTTTAATCAGTAAACTTAATCTTTATAACTGAGACATGCGTACAACGAAGACTTTGTCCCCATTCATAAAAGTAAATAAAAATCACTGCGGGGACAACACTGCATTTACAGTCAAGGATAATAAAAGAACAATAAGCTTTGGGGATGTTTTAGTATTTGGGTGAATTGCGTATTTCACACTGACTCAGACAATCACTTATGGAGCTTAGTTAAGAGACAGCTTTTCGAATATAGATTTTCACGTGAGGCAAGAGCTTAAATTCTGAAAATTTAGGGTAGCACAATAATTTAGGGATTTTATTAAATCTGGTACAATTTATCTTGTACCAGATTTAATAAACATCTAGATGTACTTACATGAATAAAAATAAGATGTTCGGTCCAAGTTAATGGAACACCCTTTTTATATATATATATATATATATATATATATATATATATATATATATATATGTAATTGTTATACGTTATTTATATAGACACAAATATTTAAGTAAATGCTGTTTATAATAAACAGTATTAACAACATTTACCGTCATGAATGTCCGAGAAATTTCATGGAAAATATGCGTCCTCCGACAGGAATCGAACCTGTATTCTAAACGGAACCGTCATATAGCCTAACGTGCAATACCAGTTTAGATATAAAGGAATCATTTGTTAGATTTACTGCTTTTAAACTACAAATTTCCCATGATTTTCCTCGAACGTTCATATCTGCTCGAAGAGTAACTTAACGTAAACAAATGACGTCATATATTATGAAATGGACTAACTTCGACAATTATTTTAATATATTTTGTCCATTTCATAATATATATATATATATATATATATATATATATATATATATATATATATATATATATATATAATAAATGAAACAGTAACTATGTCACATTGTATACGTTATAAATTCAAATTAACAACAACAACAAAAAAATCGATCGAATTGACACAGCCTCACTCAAAATGGACTTCGCTACTTCAACGGAAAATGCGAAAAAAATAGAAGGAATATATTTTTTTTGTTCAACTCTGGTTTGGAAATGACATTTCTTTCTTTCTTTAAGTTATTCTCACGCTTTCAGCTGATGCTTGGCTCGCAAACTCAATTCGATTGAAATTTTTTCTTAATTTGAATTAGTGGTTCATTCATTTCTCAAGAGTGATCAAGGATTGCAAATGCTTTCCGAAATGTATCTGTTTGAACAATAAATTATCTGTTGTAATTACAAGTTTTATTATTTTTAATTCAACTTCACCAATGGAATCAAGCGTTTTTACAATTATATATATATATATATATATATATATATATATATATATATATATATATATATATATATTCGATATGTATACAGGAATTAATTTCAATGTCTACAGGAATTTCCAATAGTTGTGGAACAAAAGCTTAAGATATAATACCAATTTAACATTGCCAATATATTAGCAACTTGATATTATTTTTATAACGATTAGTCATGACACAGGTACCCTGTATTAAACAACTCTCAATTTTGTAATCCAGTTCTAAGTGTATTTTATCCCGATGTGATATTTGCCTACCTTCCCATAATTTATTTTGCCTAGCTTCTGATTGATTAGTTTTGCGTTTTTTAACTAATGATGACATAAAATTGGCATAGTCTCTGTCTTTGGGCAGATATTTAAACTCTTGCCAATACTTTCTCTTGCTGTGGTTTCAAATTTGGCGGAATATTCTGTGGAGGGGGATGTAAACTACAGGGATACCTATTACTGATTAGTTGCAAGCATCTCATTAAAGAAAAATAATCACTGTTTTAAAAAGAAAAAAATAATTTATTTTATCATGATTTAAGAACTGAAATTTTGTTATTATCGTAGATTATAGATGAAAAAATTTATTGAAAAAAAGTTTGAACAAAGTAACTATAAATAATGTTTTTTTTTGCTATCATTTGCCAGCCGCAATGATATATAAATCATTACCTCGCATCATCGCCAGTGAGACACGCTGCAAGCTCCACTCCGTTTCGCGAGGCTCGTCCCTTAATCGAGACGCCATCCCGTCAGCCCTCCGAAGGAACGCCATCGAACGAGGGCCAAAAACCCCA